CGAGTTGCGACTGTTGTGGGCTCGCCAGCGCCGCCGCGCCGCCCTATAAACGCTGGCAGGGGATTTCTCAGGGGCGGGGTCAGGCTCGGGGAATTTCCAAGCCAGTCAGACTAGAAAAAGAACTGGCTCGTCCTCGACTGAGAAGCCTAAACCCAGGGCCGGGGTTCATTGGAGAAACTCCCTGCGATGAGCCACTGGGGTCATGCACAGGGAACTTTTTGATGAGCCCTGAGTGGCTGGAAAGTCCTCCGGACCAGGCCCCCTCCCTCTAGGTACTTCCCTGCAGCCTGCACTCAGTAACCCCAGGCCTCTGCAAGAACCCTGCTTTCCCTGGGGTTTCCCACCGTTGTCGATTGGATGTGGGGTCCTCAGCTGTTGAGATCCCAAGGACGCAGACCCGCTGGGCGGTTCCTCTTAGCGATTTGCCAATTTGCAGGTCCTTTCCGGTTTTTGATCTTTTGAAAACCCACGAGTGGAAATGCTGGCTGACTGCAGGGATTCGCTTCTCATAAATTTCTTCGAGGAAGGAGACATGAGTGTCACTAGGCCGTCTGTGTTTTGCCCATTCCAGGCTCTAGGCACTGCAGGGACATTTGGCCGTCCCTCACCCCCACCCCATGAAGCTGGGAAGCTTTGACATTAAAAACACCCAAGCGCTTGGAGAACCCCTAGAATATTAAATAGGGTTCGATAATCTTGTCTCCTGGGGGAGGGCGAACTCTAGCTATGTATGGAAAAAGTGTTAAATAGAAACCACATTTTTTTTTTTAAAAAAAGTAGAGCAAGGTGTAGTAGTGTTTGCAGTAGAAGTTGTAGCTTCCTAGCAACAGTAACTGTTGAGTTCTTGTGTCAGATTTACCACTTGCTGCAGAGAATGGAGTCTGAGTTTATGGTGAGTGCCTAGCGGAGCAACTGGCTTAGTACTTTAGCCAAGGCTGGCCCTTAATTATAGCTAAGAAAGTAGCTGCAAGGCATCCTGTAGGATGCTCAAGGCAGTCCTCACATTGACCACATCTGAACCCTGCTGGCTCTTCCAGGGTCCTTGCTCCCCAGGGAAGGCAGCATTGTGGGTAGCTACTCCCCAGAGAAAGGGATTTGGTCCTGTGATGCACTAGTTTTACCTGCAGAAATAGAATATCTGCTTTCACCCCTTCTCCACTTAGGAGCCTGCAATCTGTCAACTCCCTCTAGAATTAGCTCAGGAGAAGTAAGGCACCTTGGGTCAGACTTTGTCAGAAACAGACCCAAGAGGCCTCTGTAGTTCCTCAGATTTCTGGTGAGACTTGATCTTTTTCTTGATGAGCCATATACCAACTCTCCTTTCTCTTCATAATTCCATCCCCTTCCCCAGTATATGGATGTGAGGACACTGGGGGAAAGATGTAAAATCCATGAAAAAACAAAACAAAACCTCCAGATAGTAAGGATCCCATGTTAAAATGAAACTTTCCCAGTGAGTTCTGTTCATCAACCCTGCAGGCTTGCTCTGCACATATACAATTATTGAGGCCAAGTGAGACTGATTGTAAGTAGGAGATCTCAATTCCAGGCTCTGTCTTTCATTAAATACATTAGTGGGAGAAGCCATTTGCCTTTTTGTGTGTATGTGGTATGCTTGCTTTTATAGTAGTGGGGTTGGATTTGTGCCCATGAGATAATTAGAGCCAGGGTTCACATTGTAGCCCCAGGTTGGTCTGAAACCTGGTTGTCCAGGTTAATCTGTTGGTAAGACTTCTGCCTCAGCACCCCCCAGTGCTGGGATTGCAGCTGTAGACTGTCAGTCCTGACATATTTGAGATACTCTGTGGCTTCAAAATTGTATCATTTGTCTACAAATACATGCCCCGCTCTGCTTTGGAAGTATGAGCATGGGCTTTTGGAAAATCACAGTATAAATTTTTGGAGGAATCCCAGCCCTTTATGCATCACACTGTTAGTTCTCAGAATTAATATTGTAAGCTAGGTATTGTTTCCATTTCCCTAAAGAGAAAGACAAAATACCTAGAAATTTACCCAGGCACCCAATGACAGCTTGTCTAATTTCTACCACAATATAGTAATCATTTTGCTAAAGTGGATGTCATGTTAACACTTGGAAACACCTTGTAAAAATGAGACCAAATATAGTATAATTTGGAATATACTCAAAGTATTTAGCTGAGTTCAAGGCCAATGTGGGCAACATAAGACTCTGTCTCGAAAAGCCCTTTCCCCTCCTCCCAGGCCTCCAAAAAAGTATTTTCTCTTCCACCTGGGATGTAAAGTAGAGGGTACATGTTTTTCCATCTGGAGATTAGTTCTTCAAAATGTATAGCAGGAGCCAGGTGGTGGTGTTGGCAGTGGCATCAGAGTGGCTGGGAGGTAGGAGCAGGCAGATCTCCAAATTTGAGGCCAGCCTGTTCTACAGAGTGAGTTCCAGGACAGACAGAGATACACAGAGAAACCCTGTCTCAAAAAACCAAAAAGAAAAAAAATGGATAGCAAGGGCTGGAGCAATGCCTCAGCGCAGCTAAGAGCACTGGCAACTTTTGTAGAGGACCTGAGTTTGATTCCCAGCACCTACAAGGTGGCTCACAGTAGCCTGCAAATCCAGTACCAGGGGATCCAACACCTTTTAGCACCAGGCAACAAATGTGGTATACATACATACATGCAGGCAAAACATCCATGCACATATATTTTTTAAATAATAAAAAATTTGAACAATGTATCCTATTTTAATGTTTAATTTTAAACAATGTATCCTCAAATTTAATTAAATTTTATATTATTTTAAACAATGTATCCTAAATTAAACTTTGTAAAAAAATTTTTTTTACCCCATTGTGAACTCAAAGCCCCGGCTATAAAAGGTACATCAGAGGATGATCTGGGGCTGTAAGTGTAAAAATGAAGGAGTATGTGTGTTTATGTGTCCTTTGAGATTTCCTGTCCCCACCACCTGAGGCCTTGTGATCTACCTCTGTATTGTTTAGTGTGACACCTAGTGGTGGAAGTCAGGCTCAGGCCCTTCTGGGTTTTGGCAAAACCCTTTGAAACTTTGGGAGGTGCTGAGCCTGGATGACTTGTCCCTCCCTGGGAATTCCCAAGGAGGTACCTTTTGTTTACCTGCATCCCAGGGAGATGGTGTTGAATAAAGTGAGCCGACAGGTATTCTCCCCAGCAAGTACAGCTCAAGATAGCTTAAGTCAACAAAGGTTACAACTCGGGGGAAAAGAATATCAGACTCATAAGCAGGTTTGGGTGTGGACACACAAAAGGGGAAGATACTAGTCAATGAAAGTGTCTGGCTTTTACAGCACTGAATTTGTGGACCCTTCTGCACCTCAGTTTTCTCTCATTGTCAAACATTTTATCTAAGTTTAACAACTTTTAAGATGTTAATACTTTATATAATTTTTTTTTTTTTTTTTTTTTGAGATGCGGTCTCACCATGGGGCTCTAGCTGGGCTCTAGGCTCTTGCCTTGGCCTCCTGGGTGCTGGAATTGCAATTGTATGCCACTAAGCCCAGCCCTGGCTCTGTGTTTGTGGGTACAGTGCTAGGAAATGACCCCAGGATTCCTTGAAAAGATAACAAACACATACTTCACACTTTTTTTTTCTTTTTAATGCAGAATGCAAAGATAATAAGTTGTACCTTGTAGCAACTTAGTGCTTTAGGCCAGGATGCAGCCTCAGGAGGTGACCAGTGACACACTGGGACTTGTGGACTGAGCACCCCCATAGGTAAGGGGCATTGTCCAGGCAGATGAGACTTCTCGAATCCTCCCAGGTGAGACTCAATCTTCTATCTTCATGGGGTTTCTTCACAAGTTCAACCAGGGCCTCCAACCTTTCTCTTCTTCTGTGCCGCCCCCCTCCCTACTATGGGCAGGCTGGCAAGTGTCAGTTGGCCAATTAGTCCTAAATTGTCCTCAGACAGTAGAACTCCTGAATGAGACTCTCCCTCCCCAGAGCCGCTGGGCTGGAGGATAGAGGGGCAGGAGACCTAAAGAGCAAGCATGGCAGGCATGCTCTATGCCCAGCGCTGCTGTGGCCGTATAGCCAAGTATCTTTTCCCACAGAAAGGCAGCTGTCAGGACTTCCATTTGCACTGAGATAAAAATAAACAGCCAAAACCTCAGTGGGCTTCCTTTGCTTCAGATCCTGCATTGTAATGGAGATCAAAGCCTTGGAGGATGTCAGCCTCCAGCACCTACCCACGGAGGCCAGGCAGGTCTCACAGGAGGGTCCGGAAGGTGGGTCGCACCTCCTTTACTTCACTCACTTTGAGGTTAGGCCATGGTCCTCTGTTGTACTGGCTGTTCAGTTTGTCTCC